ATAACTTTTAAGTAAGTGTTGAAAAAACTACAAAACTTAAATGCATAGTTTTGTAATAAAATTTATTTAAAACTCACTAAAAAATTAATTTTAAGTATTTTTAACAAAATTTTAAATTAATAAAAAATTATTTTTTGAACAAGTGTTTTTTATACCCTACCAAATGCCTCGTAACCACTAACCAAGTAGATTGCATTTGTCTTCATTCACGAAGTATATAATTAAAGGGCATGTTTTTGGCTGCGCTTATAAATAAATTGTCCCTTAAATTTGAAAATTTATTAAAATAAAAACTTGAATTTTACTTTTAAAGGAAATTATGAGAAAGTTTAGGAAGTGCTAATGCGCCAATAAAGTCACATTATAGGGCTGTTGGGGTTTGCAGGACTTGCTTGAATTACTTCATTAGGTACTAAACTAATTATAGAAATTCTGGCATACTCTGAGTGAAAATTGATAATGGTTTTAAAGTATTTCATTTTCTTTTGCTATCAAATTTGTATTTCATTCTTTATTAATGAAGGCCGATATTCCATTGAAAAACGAAAACATTAAAGTGGAGTCTGTATTTTGAAAGGATAATTAAAACTCCCTTTTGGTCTTTTTATTTTGACAAAAAATTTCTTTTTTTGTCCTTGTTCTTGAGAAGGACTCCCTTTTGATCCATAAAATTATTTATCTGACTCCTTTTTGTCTACGCGGCTCTAATTGACAAAAGTTTCATGGAAATGGTATCTTACATGGAGAAGAACTCTGTTTGAGTGGGAAGACAAGGTTGCTATAGAACTTTATAGGATGATAGAGGATGTGAAGATTTCTCTAGGTTACCCAGACAAATGGGTATGGGTACATAGCAAGGAGGGCCATTACTCAACTACTATAGCCTACTCGTTGTTGGCAAAAGAAGGATGGGGTTCAGGTGGAGCAAAATTTTCAAAAGAGTATGGAATCCTATTCTTCCAAGCAAAATTGTCGTGTTCAACTAAAAAGTAGTGTTGGATAGAATTCCAACCATGTTGAACTTATTCAAAAAAGGAATTGTCAAAGATATGGGAGTAGGGAAGTGTGCTTAGTGTGAGAAAGAGGATGAGGGTTCTAATCATTTGTTCTTGAATTGCAAAATAGCTAGATGGTTGTGGTTGGCATGTGCTAAATGGTGGGGGACTACTGTAAAAATAGACGAAGATTGTTGGAAAAGTTTTGAGCATTTTGGGGGCATGGAACAAAGACCCGCATATCACAGAAGGTTGGGACTGCATCTGGAACACAGTGGTCTGGTCCGTGTGGCTCGCACAAAATCAAAAGACTTTCCATGACTCATAGGTGAATAAGGTAAGTTGTTTGAACTAATCCAATTGAGATCTTTTGTATGGATTAAGGCAAGAAAAACCAGGTGTTACTTCAATTTTTCAAATTGGTTAACTGATCCTGTTTCATGCCTTACTGTTAACTGTGGTGGGAAAAAATAGTCTTGAGAAGAAATGGTTTGAAAGATGGGATTAACACTAATTGGTTGGCATTTTTGTGTATGTAAAAAGATTTGAGTAGCCCTTGTACTCAATTTATTAACAGAAGTATACTTTTCTGTTCAAAAAAAAAAAAAAAGGACAAAAGTTTCATTTTTTTCATTATGTATATTTTTCAGTATGTAAAAAATGCTAAGTTTTTTTAGTATGTAAGAAATGCTAAGTTGGATAAGTAGTGGCATCTGTGTCAGCCGCTCAACCAAAAAGGCCTTATGGGTCCCATTAAAGCATGATCAACTTACAAAATTTTTGTCTTGGTTTTCTATACAAATTTCAGTTTTCAATTCAAATTTTTTCACTACAAATTTCTTATTCTCTTTCTTATAAATTCCATCATTAAACTTAAGACTTACAAAAAAATTTAGAATTGTGAATGAAAGGAACCCACTTAGAAGAGAAAGCAGACACAACTCTATCGTGCCTCTAAATCATTGAAAATCACAGTTAATGACCCATACCCAACTCACCAATGACCCATCGCCAATGAATGCAGAGCCATAAGAGACAAGCCATTAGAGATCTATGAATCAAAAATCAAATGAGGAGCAAGAACCCATGCAAACTCCATTGAATAATCCAACAAACTAATGCAAGGAAAAAAAAATCCAATTTATCCACAAATCAAAACACAAATCATGAATTTTTAGAAAACCCCAAGAACGCAGATTATGGGGTTTGCCATAAAACCCAATCAGAGAACCTAGGGTTGTTCAAATAGAAGGAGAGGAAGAGGGGCAAAGAAAAAGGAGGAGGAACCCCAATAATCCAAATCGTGGGTTCTCTGGAAAACCCAATAGAAGAACCAATCCTAGTTTTGCATAAGAAAATGGTAGAAGTATGGGCAAGGATAGAGAGGGAAAGAAAAAGGAGGAGATAAAAGAAGAGAAAGATGAAAGGAAGAACCCAACAAGCCCAATCGATGGTTGCTTGATGGTGGCTGCGACTGTAGGGCCATCATGAAGCCTAGATTTGGTGAAGGAGGAGAGGAGAGGAAAGGATGAAGAAAAAAAAAAAGAAGAAGAGGAAGATGGAAGGATTAGGGTTGAAGAAGAAGAGTTTTGGACAAATTTGGGATTCAAATTTTTATAATTAATTTTTAATTTTTTTATTAATATAATATTGTGGTTAAAATTCCATTTCATATTAAATACTTTAAATGAAATCTCACATTAGCATATTATATTACTATATGTTTTTCACGTCACTTATGTAAATAGAAGAAAAGAGATGTTTCGCACTTAACTCGTGTGGTCCAGTGGTTAGAGCCACTTAAAAGTGAACATCTCCTTCCTTTGAGCGGGTTTCAAACCCATTCCATGACAAAACTGTTCAAAAAAAAAAACAAAACAAAAAAAAAGAAGATGTTTCTGTTAATTAACGTGATACATATACAAGAAGTTCTAATCGCCCAACTGGCCATTTAATATTTCGTAAAGGACAATCTCACTTTATGGCATGGGGTTTGAATCCCATATTTAATGTCGAATCCGTATAAGTGCATTCTTTTATTTTTAGAATAATTATTTGAATTCGATCCATTATGAATTTCTTTTAAAAATAACTTTAAAAATTAAAAGGAACTTTCTTAAATATAAAAACAAATTTTTTTTTTTTACTAAAATAGAGAAACTAAATTGATGTTTTAACCATTTTGAAATGACTCAAACATATTGTTTTGACTAAAAACAGGGGAGGGATAAACCACATGGCATTTGACCGACAATTGGGGAACTATTCCAACTGCGGGTGCGCCGTTGCACCTGCATTTGTTTGACATTTCGTGTGCGTAGATGGGGCTTAAGGTAATAAACCATATTGTTTTCTGTGTCTAGTAATAACTATGCAAGTATTTTTTTTTTCTTTCTTTTTTTATCAGTGGGGAATTGGGGGATAAGGGGTAGATATAATATTGCTGCAGCACTCACAGCTAGAACTCTTGGCATAGATGCCAAGAGGAAGGTGCACTTCTAACGCGGTTGGAGCCGCAAGTGCAATAACTATGCAAGAATTAATTGGTATACCTTTTAATTTTATATATTATATAATATATTTATTAAAAAATTATTATTTTAATATAAAATTAAAAATAAATAAATTTAAAAATACAATCACATATATAATATGTAAGAATTAATTGAATTAATTATATTTATATTATATTTTAATAAATAAATTAAATAAATATTAAAAGATATACTTATTATTTTTCAAACTTTTATCACGAAAGTACCTCAATTGCTAAAATTTGTGATCGTAAAAAGTTCCGACTTTAAATAGGCGCAACGGAATTCAAGTGTATATCTTTTAAGTATAGTCAATCAGTTTAATTTTCTTTACTCATCCTCTCTCTGTCCCTTGGAATGTGAATATACAATAAAAAATTCTTCATGAGGGTCGCAAATTGAATATTGAAGACCTAGTTAATTTTGGCAAAAACTTATTTTTAGTCTTTTACCTTAATAAATTTATAAGTTTTAACCCTTTACTTTATAGTATGAGACTTTGAGTTCTTCACCTTATAGTGTGACACTTTGCGCTCCTCATCTTATAATATGACACTTTGAATCCTTTGCCTATATGAATTGAAGAAAAATATCCTTTCTTAACGTCAACTTATAACATTTTGTTAGTCTTGTTAGCTGATTATTAATCTTGTTAGTTAATTATTAATTCTTATAGTTGACTGTTAGTTTATTAGTTAACTGTTAATTCTGTTAGCTTGCTGTTAACTTTGTTAGTATTCCGTTAACGAACTAACAAATAAAATTAAATTTAAATTTTATATTTTTTAAAACGGAATGTTAATAGTCAGCTAATAAATTTAATAATCAATTAATAGAATTAACGGTTAACAAACATGACATTTTATAAGGGTTATTTTCTTTAATTTATATAAATAAAAAGTTAAAGTATTATAGTATAAAGTGAAAAATTAAAATTTATAAATTTATTAAGGTAAAAAATTAAAAATAGATATTCACCGTTAATTTCTTGAGAGTACTGCTCACGGAAGCTGTGTTTGTACATGTAACTACTAGCACCTAGCCATATAACATTGGACCTCGTGCTCCAACCGTGTAAAAATTGACCAACATAATTCAGTATACTAGGCACAACCAACAAGGATTGATTAAACTCATCATTTTAAATTACCAAGTTAGAGGAATGTTTTTCTGTTGTCTATATTGACATAGTGTGTAATACTTAGAAGTAGAAAGAACAATTAATTCCCCAAGAAGAGAAGAGATATTAACTATATATGTCCTAATTGATGTATGCTACAAATTCAGAAATTATAAAACTGTTCATGAAAAGCAGCACTTAGAAAATTAAGAGTTTGTTTGGTTTAAGAAAAATAAAAGGGATAAAAAAAGAGATTATTTCGTTCAATTGAATTAAGAAAGTGGATTAAAATATTTTAATTTAATTGGATGAAACAATCTTTACTTTACCTTCCCCTCCTCTTTAATTTTTTCAAATCAAGTAGGTTTTTTAAAGACTTATGCCTTCACCAAAAGAAGAAGAAGAAGAAGAGAGTTCACACCTTAATTAAGCGAAGATTACATACCACAACAATAATTAGAGCAATCCATATTATATATTCTTAGTAGGCATTCATTTGCATATATAATTCAGACTGCAGCGTAGATTTCATGACCAAGCAATTTGATTTTTCTTTCTGCTGCAATCTTGTAGCGTGGACCGTTGGCAGCATTTTGGTCTAGCCAAAATGTGACTCTGTCCCCCCGAGTGAGACATTTTTGCGGACAAAATCAAGCCAACCCGCCTGGAAAACGGGCTTTGGATGGCCTTCTCTACGAATGCTGTAGCCAAAGCACCACCCCTGTCCACGCACATCCTCGACCACCGAGTTTTGCGTGCCCCCTTCAAACTCTGGCAGATGCTGCCTCGTGAACTTACTTGGGATCGCCATTCTTTTACTGGAATCCGTCTGAGTTAGTGTTTTACTAAAAAGTGCCATAAGTGCAGAAGAGGAGTGTATTGGATTCTGCATATCATTCCAATTCCCACATCCCCAGCTTATTAAATTCTTTATTTGCAACAGTGGAAAACGTGTAAAAAATGACTATTAGAGGTCGGCAATGGCTCTCACTTTCTTTGATTCGAACGTCAAATGAAACTCTTCATTAATTGGCTCTCTCAATACTAATTCTTTGTTTTCTTACCTTCGGTATATACCTACACATTGCTTACGTAAGTCTTATCTTTTTTTTTTCTTTTTTTTTTAAATGAATAATATCACTTAATTTCACGAGGAAATTGACTTGAATGCATAATGGATGTGAGAAAACAAGGTAGGAGAGAAAAATATAAAGACAAATGATACTTTTTTTGATTCATTTGAATATACAAAGTGCCTATTTATAGGCCTGTACAAAAAAATATTCTGTAGTATAAAATCAATTAATCTAATTATGTAAATCAATTATAATGTGAATATAATCATAGCAATGTGAACATAATCAAGAGAGAATATTTTGTAATATCCTCCCTCAAACTTAAGATGGTGATGAGGAGACCAGCTTGAGTTTGAAAAAAGGAGTACAGAAGCGTCTAGGAAAATGAGCCTTTGTGAAGAGATCCGCAGGTTGATAAGTAGAGCTAATAAAGACTAGATGGACAGTTCCTTTGGCAACATGATATCGAATAAAATGACAATCTACCTCAATATATTTTGTTCGTTCATGGAAAACATCATTGTGAGCAATTTGTATAGCACTTTGATTGTCACAGTAAAGATCAGTAGAAGATGGTTGGGAAACACCCATATCCTCCAAGAGCCATCATACGGAAAGAAGTTCTGAAGTGGTGTCACCCAAAGCTCTCTATTCAGCCTTAGTATTAGAGCGAGATGGAATAGCTTGTTTTTTACTACGCCATGAAATAAGAGAGTTACTAAGAAAGAGATAATAACCAGTAGTGGATCTTCGATTTGTAAGATCACCAGCCTAGTCAACGTCTGAATATGCACGAAGTGCAAGAGAGGAATGAGCTGAGAAGTGAAGTCCATGAAATAGTGTTCCCTTAACATAGCGAATAATACGAATTATAGTAGCATAATGAGTGGAATGGGGAGCAGCCATAAACTGACTAATAACATGAATTGCATATGCTATGTCTAGAAGTGTCGTAGTAAGATAAACCAAACTCCCAACCAACTGTCAATAACGAGTAGGGTCAGGAAGTGGAAAGCCATCTAATGATGTGAGTTTGACGTTTGGTTCCAGAGGTGTGGAGACAATCTTTCTATCAGTGAGACCAGCTTCAGATACAAGATCTGATGCATATTTCACTTGAGAGAGAAGATAGCCATCATCTGAGGATGTAACTTCAAGTCCTAAAAAATAACTCAAAGAGCCAAGGTCTTTCATCTCAAATTTGTGGCTGAGAAACTACTTAAGCTCATTAATCCTTGAAACATCATCTGTAGTGATAATAATATCATCAACATATATGAGTAAGAGAACCATTCCCTGAGCAAATTTATGGACAATTAAAGCAGTATCATGTGGACTAGATGTGAAACCAAACTCACTTACAGTAAAATTGAATTTTGCAAACCAAGCTCGAGGAGATTACTTCAAACCATATAAGGCTTGCCGCAATCGACATACCTTATTCAGAGGATGAGTAAGTCCAAGAGGTGGTTTCATATAAACCTCCTCTTCTAAATCACCATTAAGAAAGGCATTTTCACATCCCTCTGAAACAACTTCCATTTATGTATAACAACAATAACTAGTAGACTGCGTATTGTGGTGAGACGAGCAACATAAGCAAAGGTTTCTTCATAGTCAATGCCATATTCTTGTGTAAAATCCTTTGCCACCAGGTGTGCCTTATAGCGCTCCACAGATCCATCAGAATGAGTTGTGATCTTGTATACCCACTTGCATCCAACAAGAGTCTTATCAATAGGAAGATCAACCAAGTCCCAAGTACCGGTCTTTTCCAAAGCCTGTAATTCCTCTTTCATAGCTTGTTGCCATAGAGGATCTAAAGAAGCTTCCTTATAGGA